TCCTCCCCCGCTCGCTTGTTCCTTCAGCCGGAGGCTCCTCCTCTCTCCGCTCCCCCATCCAACTCGCACACGTGTGTGCGTGTGTCAGCGCCAGCTGTGCGAATGCACGTGTGGGCGCCTGCGAGCCGAGACATCTGGAAAAAGGGGGACCGCTCGGGGTGGCTTTCCCCCATCTTTCCTTCGCCCGGCCCGCGGCGCCCGCTGGCTGGCCCGCCCCGTTGCCGCTGCCGCGCCTCCCGTTGTTGGGTCTGCGGAGCCATGGACGAGGGGAACTGGAACCTGAGCGACCTCAACAGCAGCCAGCCTTCATGCAGCGCCGACGGCCCCAACGGCACCCTGGGCGCCCGAGGGGGCAGCCCGTGCTCCAGCCCCCCAGGGATCAGCCCTGCCCGCGGCGCCCGCTGGCTGGCCCGCCCCGTTGCCGCTGCCGCGCCTCCCGTTGTTGGGTCTGCGGAGCCATGGACGAGGGGAACTGGAACCTGAGCGACCTCAACAGCAGCCAGCCTTCATGCAGCGCCGACGGCCCCAACGGCACCCTGGGCGCCCGAGGGGGCAGCCCGTGCTCCAGCCCCCCAGGGATCAGCCCTTCCATGGTCACGGCCATCGTCATCATGGCTCTCTACTCCGTCGTGTGCGTGGTGGGACTCTTCGGCAACTTCTTGGTCATGTATGTCATCATCAGGTAAGAAAGCTGGAGGGACGCCTTCCCGTCAGCATCCCGCCAAGGACTGCTGGCTGCTGATGCCCAAAGATGCCAGAGGGCAGCCCGAGGGTGTGTGTGTGTGTGAGAGAGAGAGGGCGGAGATGCAGCCCTGGGGAACCTTTAGGGCCCTGCCCTGCCATTAGATACCGCGTTGGGTGGTAGAAAAGAGCAACAAGGAGGGGATGGTTTAATTCGCTGTTTTTCTAGGTAAGAAACAGGAAAAGGTGCTAAATGGTGTGGGGGGGTGTTGTTTTCCTCCAGTGCCAAGATTAACTTGATTGGCTTTGGGTGCTGTGTCCCCCTTCACTCGGTTAATTGTGAGGGCAACATCTGCTATTGTGCCTGAGGCAGCAAAATGTCTTAGTCCTTGGCTATTCTGTTATGGAGACTATAAAGGGAGCTGGTCCCTTACTCCAAAAGTGAGCAACTGTGGCCCTCCACATGTTTCTGAACTGCAGTTCCCATCAACCTCCACCACTGGCTATCCTGGCTAGGGCCTTGATGGGAGTTGCAGGCCAATAATATCTGAAGGGGCCCTTTCATTGTTCCTCGTTGGATCAAGAAAAGCCACCCCTTTATCCAACGTAGGCCAGCAAACCACTTCTCCTGAGAGAAACCTCAGGTTTTGTTTGACAGGTGCTGCCTCCCTTTGGGGAGATGTTATCCCCAAAGTGAGTGGTTCTTCTGCAGTAAGAGAGCCGATCTTCAGCAGAAGCCCCATGAGGAAAGTAGATGGTGGAGTGAATCAAACTCTTCCACTGTCCTTTTTGTTCCCATAAAGTTTGCTCTCCCTCTCCCTCCTCAAGATGCCTTCTTCTGTGAACTGGAACAGTGTTAGAGAGACTGGCACAGAAAGAGGGAGAAATCTGTCCATGGGAAGGCATGTTATTGTTCATACCTCTTGATAACAATGGGTCATATCTCATTTCACATTCACAAAATGATAAAAATTTTAACAATTAGGCATGTGTTGTTCCAGTGTGCAGCCAGACCTAAAATGTGTAGAACCAGAGAGGGGAAGGGGAAATCTGCATGAGCTGCAAAAAATAAATTAATAAATAAATAAAATAAAATTACACTGGCTGTTTGTTTCTTTTTTTAAAAAAAAGTAAAGAAACAAAAGTAAAGTATTTTCTTAGAACTCTAGGCCTGATAAAATGGCATGAAATGTGGCTCTAAGCATCAAAGCTTTTGCATGCAATCACACACACACGCTGTGATAACCCCTTTGCAAACAATCTCAGAGCAATGCATTACATGCTCCAAATTGCAGTTTTTCAGAACAAACCTATACAGTTGGACTCAGAAGTCAGCCAAACTGTATTCACTGTGATATACTCCACAGCAAGTGTATTGGATTTCAGCCTTATCATTAGACACATAGTTGACAGATTTTGTGTGCCTGTCAGACAAGGAATCACTCATGCACAGACAGCTAAACATCAGTTGCTTGTTCTCAAATTAATCCACTGAGGGGAAGGATGGATCATACCTTTTCCATAGACGAGTTTCTATTGCATTGAAATTCATGTTAAAATATTCCCTAGTTTCTTCCAAGTTGGAAAAGATTTGAGCCCATTTAAACAAGGAGAATGTGTTTTTCCAGTAGATGAAATTTCTCATCCAAAGAAAATAAATACTAGGCGGGAGAATTCCGCTGAAACACGTAGGACAGAAGTCGCTGCAGTGATACGTGTCTAACAACTGAGGATTCTTTCCCTTTTAAATAGCAGCGACAACACATTGTTCTCTCCATGGAATGGGTTTTCTTCTTACTGGTGTTAAATGAGATTTGTTTAATGAATGCCAGGTAGAAAAAAAACAATCAATTTTGCTCCTAGTACATCGCAAGTGTTTAGGAGACATCTGGTTAGAAACAATTTCTATGAGAGTAGAGCACCATCTATTGAAGCTATCGATAACAACAGGTGGAACTGCTACTTCCAGCAGTCACATCTGAAACGGTGCCTTGAGACACCACGGTGGGGGTTATTTGTTGTCCCTCATGCACACCTTCTTTCATTGTTTTTGTGTATTTTTTTCAGTTCAGAAGGACAAGAATCTTAAACAGCAAAATCTGTATTTTTAAGTAATATTGACGTTCAGTCATATCTGACAGAAAGCAGGACCTTAAAAAATGTTATAGTGTATTCCTACTTTCTTGCTCAATTGCTCTTCTTTGTTTCTGGCAGCTAGATATACCTTCCTCTGTGACACCATGGCCTAAATTCAGCTGTTCACCCCAACTGGACAGACCCATTAAATCACTGGAACTTATGTAAGGATCCCCATTGATCCAATGGGCCTATTCTGGTTGTCAGAAACAATTGGATTTAAGCCTGTCTTCCTCAGGCTGGTAGACTAGAATTTCTAACATCCCCAACCAGTGTGGCTAATTGGCCATCCTAGCTGGAGATCAAAAGACCTGTAGAGCACCAGCTTAGAGAAGGTTGTTGAAAGCTCCAAACTCCCCAATTCCCCATCATCATCACCACCAATTTTCCATTTCCTTTCTCCAACTATTACTAATTTTGTAGGTCCTGGGCACACTGAGCTGTCCACCCCTCCCAATTTTGGTCTGGATTTTATTTGTAGATCTTAAAGCATACTTCTACAACATTCTGGATTCCATAAAGTGTGTGATGATATAGACTTCGGCATTTCCCTTGTCCCCATCCCAGTTATAGAGGCAAGGCTGGAAAAAAATCTAGTGTATTTGCTCGTATGCTTTTGTTAAGGTTTTCTGTTATCATTTAGATAAGAACTGAACAATCTGGAAGGGGACCTCAGGTTGCACAGAGATTTAGGTGGTACTGGAGATTCCTCCTTTGAAATATATTTTCTGTCATTTATTTCAACAACAATCTGTTCTTCTTTAGAGATCAAATTGATTTACTCTACTCCATGGGTTTTGGGATGCATTGTATGAGACACTTCATAGACTCCCATTCTGATCATGTCTACATCTTCTCACTGTAACACGGCAAGTTATTTGTAGACTTATGAGTAGCTCATCTCCCATCCCTTCCTCTCTTCCTTCTTACTATCACATAAAAACTGAATTGCTTTTCCAAGACGGGTCAGAGCATCAGACTAGTATGAGACGGAATCAGGTTCTAATCTCTTCTCACTTTCATATCTCAGTTTTAAATCTAGCTCCAAATCTCCCCTTTGAGCCCTCTCAGGCTGACCTACCTTACACAGTGTTGTTGCAAAAATGAAACAAGGAGCAATTCAGAGGTCTTCTGAGCCAATATATAATTAAAGCATAACAAATATATTAAAAACATGAGCTGATATTGTCTAACATGAAATAGGTTGGGCAGCTGACAGTTTAGTAATGTAGAAATCAAGTATTAACTGCAATCTTTTACTCCTTTACCTGCTTTGCATTATGGATGTGCACTGGACCGATGACCTAGTACATACCAAAATAAGGGCAGGTTGATGGCTGATCCAGCCCTGGATTTAATACAGGGGATGCCATTTCACCCCATGAATGCCTCTGGGCTCTTTGGTCCATAAACATACACAAACCCTCCAATTTTGTTCCTAAGTATACACGATTTGTCTGAACACCATTCACATCAATCCTTTGCATGCAGAGAGTCTCCAGTCCCTGGCTCCTGACATCTCCTGGAAATAATCTTGCCTGGAATTGTGTAAAATCACTGCCAATTAATGCTGACAGCATTCAGCTAAGAATAATGGTCTGACTCTGTATAAGGCAGCTTCCTAGGTTCCCGGGTAATTATCAATCCGTGAGAACGAATATATGGGTCAGATATTGCTTCTCCTCTGGATTTAGCAATTTGGGCTGGAGGATCTGAATGAGAAAAACAGCCAAAGAGGGAAAGGGTGAGCCACCCAACTTGCCTCCCTCCTGCTAGTGTTCTGATCATTTTGCTGTGGCTGATTTTCTTTTTTTAAAAAATGTTGGAGAAAGTTATGTTAATGTTGTGGATTGATCTAGAGTATTCTCAGTAGAGAATTTGTTGTAAAGATAAAGCATGTTGTACCTGGCAGATTTCTATGCCTGACAAATGCTTGTAGATAGCTAATATTGATTTCTGTTTTTCAAAAGAAATACCTATTAACTGACAGCCATGAGCACAATCATAGCCCACAAGTTGCTTACACATTTCCTAAAGGTGTATGATGAGTATTTTATGCTTAATTAAATGTTAAATTCTCTACGTTCTCAACAAGTGCTATCCCTGCCATTATAATGAAAAGGATTAAAGCTGCCATAGCAGCAGAGAGAAACAAGGTATCCCAGCTAAGTACTGTAGTTGTATAGAAGCCACCCCAATGTGACAATTATACATGTGGGCTGTGTAGGTGAGGAAAGGTGTACTGGATTATCACAGCCAGTGAGATTTGTTTGGATTGAGCAATAGCTACAGAAAAGACTTTTGTCTAGTGTCATAAAGAAAGTATGTGGCCAACATTCAGTGGTGTATTTCCATATTCTGGATTTTGTCCCCCACTGTTCCTTCTACTGCATCTTCCCATGCCACACAGAAATCTGCTCCAGATGTTTTTCCAGGTCTTCAGAACAGATCTTTAGGCTTCATCGGATGCTGCAGCTGAAGGGTCACTGATGATTTAAAGGAAACACACATGGACCCTGGTATACACAAGAGAAGCCTGCAGGTCCACCCAGTCTTCTTACAGTCAGGACTTTCCTTTAATCAGCACTTTCCTTTAATCATAGTTTTTTTTTAATTACAGTACTTAACCACTCTGCTTTCTTGACATTGTAGATAGTTACACTATGGAATTCACTATCACAACATGGGGTGCAGATCCTCAATGTATGTGGCTTTCAACAAGATCAGATACACTCATAAAGGATAAGATCATCACTGGCAACTGCTCAAGATGAGTGCTTGCTGCTTCTAGGATCAGAGACACCCTGCCTTTTAGATACTCTTCAAGCTGACCTTAAAATATTATTTATTTATTTTTTAAAAGGA